TATATATATTTTGCTGGTTTGCATTAATGTTAACGCAAACATAATTTTATCATACTGTATAGTGCACTTGACAGGTGTTTCCTATTCCTTCACACCATGTTGGTTTAGGAGAAGTTAAGAAGTGAGCAGGTTTCACCAGAGATGTGATGGAATGTGAATTCTACGGCTTTCCTCTGCTTTAATATGAGGATATGAAATCTTTGCCTATATTTAGTGTGGTATTGCATCAGCTAAATGTTCATAATCCACCTCCTTTAAATCCATTCATCCCTGAGACAGAGGATGTCCATTCTGCTCCAGACATGACCCGTTTCCTTCTCTGTGCTCTGTAAATAAACTGGATTAATAGCAGGAAATGGGAGCTTGTTGTAATTAGGACCTACTGAATGCCAGACTGCAAAGGGGAGGTGCAGGGAAATTGATATTTATTTAGTTTTTGAAGCCCCTGCACAGTTGCAATCTCAGGTTATTAATGATTGATGATTAGCAGCGTAGCAGCTGCTCCCTGCTGAGTGTGTGCAGGAGATAAGATTGTCATTGCGGGGAAGTTGTAATGAAATGCATGCTTCAGAAAGCAAGACTTTGATCAGTGTTGAATGCTCCACTGCTATGAGACCTGGCGAGTTTATCTAAGAGTAAGAAGTAAAACCAACCTCCGCCTCCTTTAATTCTGAAATGCATAATATTTGTCACATCCATATTTGATTTGAGTGCTTTGTTAGTCTCATTGAGCTGTATGCTTATTTTGCCATGCAGGTGCAGTGGTATTATATGAGATTCAATGGTACATGAATTTCTGACTTCTTGAAGGCTGAAGAAATATTTTTTCAGCAAATCTAATCATGTCCTCACTCTTGCTCACTGTGTCTGACTCAGCGTGTATATCTGTCTGGAGACAAGAAACCCGAGTGCTTCACAGAGCACATGCCAGGCAGACCTCCACTACCATAGAAAAGGCAGATATTTATGCTGCCTTTACATTTGTATCATATCAGCCATGTCCTGAGCAAATTCATTTAGAAGAAGTGTGGAATCTAATAATGCACTAAAAGAACCTTTATGCTTCTGCATCCTATTATCTTCAAATAAGCCCTGATGCCATAATAAACTGAAGTTCTGCATTTATACCTTTACTGCATTTTTTTATTGAAGGAGGAAGACTGTCCAATATTAATGTGTGCTCTCTACAGTACATGTCTAAACTGCTCTGTAAAACAGACAGGCAGGAGGACTGCGAATCGTCTCGCATTTAAAGATTTAATGTGCTTAGAAATGGCCAGAGGCAGTGTAGGCTTAGATTCTGCCTCATACATACAGAGCAAGTACAAATTAACACTCTGAGTTCATTTTAACACTTAAACTATCTAAATGGATTCATGCCACTGTGTTAATTTAAGTCTTTTCGAAGTGTTGGTATGTATTAACACTTTAGGGATGTACGGTACGGTGGCCGGCCACTGTACCTTTAGAGTAGGGAGTTGACTGCAGTCAGAATCGATACTAACTAGTGTAAGCTGTTCTCAACACTGGTGTGAAAGGTTAGAAATAAACTCCTCACAGTGTCACTACAGTATGGTCACATACAAATATCACAAATCATACATGCAGAATTTTTGGGCTTCCAGCTGTGGTGCATCCACAAACCAGTTACTAATTACTGGAATGCAACACAGCTGATGTGCAGAGAGCAGAGGAGAGAAAGACTGAGGAGAGGCAGCGGCCGCCGAGCGGCCCTGATGTTTTACAACTAATTCTATTTAAACATGCACAAAAATCAAAATGTATTTGATACATGACATACTAGTTCTGTAGGTCTTGTTGGTGTGTACATTTTTATTTTGTTGTATATTTATAGCACCCTTACTGAGTCAGTAACCCTCACTTAATCATGCAATAGGTTCTAATATGAAGATGCTTATAATAAAAGTAATTTTAATACATTACTTAAAGATCTGTTAGTGTGCTAGTATGTCCTGCAGTGAAGCCCAATAAGCATATACATCAATGCATCAGCAAAGGCAGGAGAGTATATGTATGTACTGTACATATACTGTACCATGGAAATAAGCAAATCAGATTAATACAAATCCTCTCCTGTACATACACTAAATCCATCTGTTGCCATTGATTTCAGTTTATGTAGGGCAGCCATACTGCATCTTGTTCAGAAGCAGTCAATATTGCCTTGGGTTTTATTTTTCTAGATATATATTCATATTTTTATAATAGGTTATTGCCTTTAAGTGACTGTGTGCATAAAAAAATCCTGTAAATAATATTTGGATTCATTGCTCATTTAGAGGTGACTAGCATTCTGATAAGATTAATACAGGAAAAATAAAGCACAAAGTATACCATGAGCAAATCTGTGTTTCTCACAATAAAGGGCTTGTCAACAAAAGCTGCAAGGGAGAAAATCTTTACTGTAGCTT